TATATATATTGTCACAGCCCCTCGTTTGTTGTCCTCTTCTCCCTCTCTGCCTACGGTTTACCGGGCAGTTCTATTTGACGATATATATTGTCACACTGTGAATCAGAGCGTGAAGGCGGAAAAAGGGAAACAAGAAAAGGAAAAGAAGGATGGAAAGCCCCACCTGTTCACCACCTCTTACGTACAAGTCCAGCCACGTGGTTGAGCGCAGGCTGCCCCCATCCCCGTGTGTCACAAGGACCCACTTGCACGCAGCCAAAAGGCAAAGAGGTAATGAAAAGGAGGAAACCAGACTTCACAGAGGCAAGAGAAAGAGAAAGAGAAAGGGATCCAATCAAAGAAAAGACAAACGAAGAAAGCACATGACACATCCCACAGATAAACCAGTTGCCACTATCACTAGGAAGTTCAACATATTTTTTTATTTTTTTATTTCTTATTTTTTTCTTATTTTCTTTTTTCTTTTCTTCAAAATTGTGTACATTTATTCTTTCTTTCTTTGTTTCTCTTTTTGTTTTTTCAATTTTTTTCTTTTTTCTTTCATCAACTCCACATGTGTTGGTAGTATCGAAAGCTTTATCTGTCCTACAATCAGTGTATATGTATATATATGCTGTTAAAAAGAGGAAAAGAAAGAAAGCCATCCACCCATCCATATGTATTCATCCACTTCCCCCACCGACCTTTTCAATCTATCCACCCATGCACTCATGTATTCATCGCTATATCCATTCTCCTTCTTCTGTCCACCCACCACTTACATCCATCTATCCACCCACCAATCACATCCATCCATCCACCCACTAATCACATCCATCCACCAATTAGATCCTTCCATTCGTCCATCGACCATTTCTATCCATCCATCCATCCATCCATCCATCTATCCATCGACCAATTCGATCCATCCATTCATGCATGTATCGATTGACGAACCTATTCCCTCTTGCATCCTTAATTTCATCGACTCATCCATCCATGCATCTTCCATCATTCAATCTCATCCACCACTCCATCTCATCCATCCGCTCAATCCCATCCATCATTCAATCTCATCCACCACTCGCCACTCAATCTCATCCATCCGCTCGTGTTTCTCTCGCAAACTCCCGTTATTCCGAGCATACAACTGCACTAGATGATCCAATTTTCGTCGCGTAGACTAATCTTATGAGGGTAAAGACGATTGGCAACCAAAAAAAAAAAAAAAAAAAAAAGAGAGCAGATACGTTCGCTCTAGTGTGCTCTCGGGTAAAGATGGCTTTCACTTTTTTCCAAAGTCACATTTCCATTACTAAATACTAGTATGTCACTTTTTTTACATGGCTAAATTTGTAATTCGAAAAACAATATAAAGATGGTAATGACCTCCGGCGGAGTTTTCAATCGACTTAACGTACAGATTCTGATGAACGAATAAGGCAGAGAGCGATCAGATACATGCGTCACAGCACATACCCTTTTTTCTTTATTCCACCTCTTCACGGCTAAATCCCCCCCCGCTCCTGACCGTGACACGTGTCCTCATCTCCCATCAACGATATTCCAGAAAAATACCGTGCCAGGTATAACCTATATACTTGCTAACGTCCACAAATACGACGCAGGGACGTTGGCAGAAGAGCTAATAATCCTGACCCTTAAAAAAAAAAAAAAAAAAACAATCCTCACCTTAGCGGATACGAGAGGGCAGGAGAAGAATTGCGTAAGTAGAAGGCAGAGCAGAGAGGGGCAACAAAGCAATATGACAAAATAATTGAACTAAGAAAAGGCAGAGGGAAGGAAAAGAGAAAGAGGCAGCAGACGGGAGCGGCCCAGTTCGCGGTGGAATTTACAAAGCGACAAATGAACGCTGCGCATCCCCCATGAGCAGAGAAAGCGGCCACATTCATTGAGAAAGTCGTACTATGAGTACGTACTAAACATTTTTACACGTGCATTCTACTGAACGTATCGGACCGCAGTTACGACCAGATTCATTGACAAGTCCTAGTCTGATTACTACCAGCTAACACTAAGAGACGAGAAGTAAAGCGAACGGTGAAGGAACGAGCAAGAAAAAGAGCGTGAAACGACAAGCACAAACAAAGGCGGGAGATGGAGCAGCTATGGAGGGAGGGGGAGGGAGGGGGAGGGAAGGAGTGGGGAACACTTGAAGGGAAGGTAGTAGGTGCTCGACATTCCATGTACAGCGTTCGCCTGCCCCTACCATGAACCTGTTCCTTCCTACAGTCCGAGATTCATCGCAGGCGTGCCAACGAAAGGAGGCTCTCAAGTCAAGTGGGGGCGTAATCTACAGTCACGTGTTCGCTGATACGACCAGATTCATCCAGTCCAAGCATGAACCTGTTCATTTCTACAGCCACGTGCGGGAGTAATCTACAGCCACGTGCGGGAATAATCTACAGCCACGCATGCAGTGATAAGATTCAGCGCATGAACCTGTTCCTTCCTACAGTCTAAGATTCAAAGCAGGCGTGCCAAAGGAAGGGGGCTCTCAAGTTGCGTGGGGGCGTAATCTACAGCCACGTGTGCATTGATACGACCAGATTCATCCAGTCTAAGCATGAACCTGTTCATTCCTACGGCCACGTGCGGGAGTAATCTACAGCCACGCATGCGGTGATAAGATTCAGCGCATGAACCTGTTCATTCCTACAGTCTAAGATTCATAGCAGGCGTGGCGACGAAAGGGGGCTCTCAAGTCGCGTGGGGGCGTAATCTACGGCCACGTGTGCGCTGACAATGTAGAAGAGGTAATCTGAAAGTCTCATTCATCTCCGATGAGTTGGCCTGGCATAAAGCTGAGCCACGTCTTTCTCTACGGCCACGTGTGCGCTGACAATGTAGAAGAGGTAATCTGCAATTCTCATTCATCTCCGATGAGTTGGCCTGGCATAAAGCTGAGCCACGTCTTTATCTCCTCCTTATCTTCAACCTCATCCAGTCGTCTTACCCCGCCAATGTACCCGAAACAGTGCGCCGTGTCCCAGCGCGGGAAAGGCTGCTTCTTCCCGCGCTTCGACCTTAACACTACGCCCACCCGCCACTGCGACACTCGAGTGAATTGATTGAAACACAACTTCACCTCATCGGCTTTGCAGCACACACAGTCACTTCTTGAACCTCTACATCTCCCACTTCTTTCCTCTCCTCCTCTTCCTCCCCCTTCCCCTCCCCTCCCTCCCCCTTCACCTCCCCTTCCTCCTCTTCCTCCTCCTCCTATGGCTGTCGAATTACCACCTTCCAAGCTTCTCCTCCTTCCCTCCACGTCATCGCTGCTTTCTTCAGCGTTTCCGTTGCTCCTTCCGTTACTCTCCTCCTCCGCCGAAACGGTAGCAAACGGACAGCGATCTAGATGCCCTACTATCCCATACCACCACCCGTACGGCATAGGACTACCCAGCCTCCACTGCACTTCCACGTGGTCGCCGGGCTGTACACTCAGTAGATCATCCTTTCCGTACACTCGGAATGGGTCTGAATCTAACAGAGAAGGCCTGATTCGATGCCACGTGATCCCGGTTTCAACGGTGGGCGCAGGTACGTTCTCCACGTACGTTGCCGTGAATGTGTCGGTCTTTCGGTCGTACTTAACGATGGCATCATAGGCCGACAGCAACCACCCATCCTCCTGCTCTCTGTTTCGCACTTGGGCAGGGAAACTGTAAAGACCCCTCTCAAATATGGAAAATAAAGCCATTGCTGATTGCGAGATTTCGGGAACAACTGTCTTGTCGCTATACCAAGCCTGCACAATGGCATTCCTCGCCTTTCTGCCCCCAACACGACCCCATCTTTGTCGGAAAAACCCACTCCAAATGCAATCCGACGATGCAATCCTATACAGGGATTTACAGCAAGCTGCCACGTGTGCAATGTCGGCTGGACCGAGAGACGATGACGACAGAATAACTTCAATCACGGAAGGCGGAAGATCAGGCAACCGAGAGCAAGCGGGATCAGCAGACGAACAAGACACCATCTCTCTCTCCCAACGTTCTCCACCTCTCCGTAAGAACGACCGCCTCATTCTCGGCACCCCCGAAGATAACATCCAATCATCATAGCCGCCACGTGGACTCTTACCCCTCCAATGATTGGCCTCCACGTCATCATAATCCTTCGTCGTGCCCCACCTTTCTCCACTTGGGCCTCCGAATGCTTCTTCCTTCTCCTCACCCTTCTGCATCTCCGCTTGCTCTTCTTCTTCTTCTTCTTCTTCTTCTTCTTCTTCTTCTTCTTCCTCCTCCTCTTCTTCTTCCTCCTCCTGCGTCTCGTCGTGTGTCTGTACCTGAACTATAAGAAGTAAGCCTGATTCTCCCTCTTCAACTCCCACACCTGCCGCCTCGGCTCCTCCCACTCCCGCTGCTTCCACTTGTTCCTCCTCCTCCTCCTCCTCCTCCTCCTCTTCCTCCTCTTCCCCCTCTTCGGCGTTTCCCTGTACATCAACTACCACGAAAAGCGGTGTTATAATCTCCTCCTGAGCAATCCCACTCGTCGCACTAGGTTCCAATCCTCCTTCCACTGTTCTCTTTACCTCTGCTGCCTCTTCCTCCACCTCAGCGCCATCTCGCGTCTGAGTCACAGGCAGGTCGGCTGTCTCTTCTCCCAGCACGTCGTCTACTTCCTTGGCCCCTACATCCTTCAGTATGCCTTCATCTGCCATACTCTGCGCACCATTCACCCTCTCTCCCTCCTCCCCTGATCCATGGCCAGGAGGACAAGATCGCTGATCCGTTCCGACAACACGTTCTCTCCCCTCCTCCTCCTCTATGCAGCGATCCCGCAAACTGCCATCGCCACCAGCAGCGCCCGTGGACGTCGTCTCTCCCGCCTTCTGATCGTCCCCACGTGACATATTCTCGGTCCCGACTTCACCTCCGAGTAACTGCTCCACGTGGTTCACAACCTCCGAGGAAATGGTCCCTGGCCTAGGTCCCACTTGCACGAATTAAGAGATATAATATTGACCGTAGATAGCAAAGATCAACGGCCGAACTCTCCTAATCTGCGCAAGTGGGACCTTGCCCCCGGTCTCTAACGTGTCCCGTTTCCCGCCAATTGGCAGCGAGCGATTTTCGTTTCCCGTTTCCCGCCAATACCCAGTCCCCGTTTTCTTGGCTCTTTGCTGGCAGCGCGCGAAAATCGCTCGCCCACTCGCGCCCCTGTCGCCGGTAATCGCTCCCCTGCGCGGGTCGCTCCCCTTCGGGAGCCAATCACCCTGCCTGTCCTTTGACCTTACGGTGAAATGCGCAGCCCTGCGCCGGTTTCCACGTTTTTTTATATCAGGCCTTGATGCGGTACTCACCCCGCCATTATTTTTTTTATTTTTTTTTTCGCCAGGTACTGTACTGTCCACATGCAGAAAAGACAAAAAAAATATGGCGGCGTACCAGCCCGTGTTCTAGCAGAAGATTCATTCTCATTTTGCCCATTTGGTGAGTAGTGGCGCGAGGCCCAATGTCGTTCCAGTGAGGGCCTGGGGCCAACAAGTCCCACTACCGGCAGCAGCGTTGAGTTTAAATTCCTCAACGCCTGAATCTGGAGGTGTTTGTGGAGACGTGCAGTTCAGGAAACTCGACACCATTTCTGCACATCTCCGCAAAGGCGTCCACATTTAGGCGTTGAGGTAGCTCAACGTTGGTAGTGGGACTTGGCCCCTGGCCATGCAGACTCACCAAACAAACACAACATTTTTTTATTTTTTATTTTTTGGAAGAATCATTATCATTAGCTTTTATTACAAATGAAAGGAGGCCGGGAATTCCTCACAAACAACCCGGAAGATATGACCAATAACCCTAATTGGGCCAATTGGGCTGTTGCTGGGAAAAAGGGGGTAGCGTCCCTTCCTTTCAATGGTCTATCCTCATCTTACAAAATCCCTTGAAGCTCAAAGTAAGAGCCTCTTTCCACTGCTCGCCATCCGCCACGCATGGCCGATGCGACTTTCCACATCGTCGCATCGCCAATAGCCACAAAATGGGCTGTCAGAATTTGGGTCTGAAATCACTTGGCGATGTGTCGCCAAGACTTTCCATTTCCCCTGCCTGCAACGGCCCTTCGTGGAGGACGCTACTCCTCCCCCCTCCGCGAAATGCTTTGTGTGGCCATTGCCCCTGACACAGCCGTCCTGACAGTCGACCTGCCTTGTCCCCTAGTGTTGGTGAGTTTTCGCTGCACCTGGAGTGATGTCCAGTCCGAGTACATGGTGAAGAGAAGGCCGCCACCGTTCCGCCACAGTCCGGGGAGCAGGCCGGGACAGCAACCACAGCGCACGTGGCAGCGGTGATGTAATGGAACCAAGAGCCGTTTTCCGCCAGAAAAAATGCACTTTTCGGCCTCGCCAAGTCTCACCCACTGTTTGTGGCGGATGGCGAGTAGTGGAACGAGGCCCTAAACGTAAGTCCTTAGGGACATCCGTTGAAATTGGAACCATACAGAGAAGATTAGCATGGCCCCTGCACAATGATGACACGCATAAATAGAGAAATGGTCCAAATTTATTAAAAAAAAAAAAAAAAAAAAAAGGAAATGCAACATTTTTTGTTTGTGCTCGCCGCACTTTTTTCTTGTCGGAATGTTTCGTCAGGGGCAAGGTCCCACTAGCAAAGTGGATTGGATTAACTCCTGAATTTGGACGTGTTTGTGGAAAGGTGCAGAAAGGCAAGATTGAACTGCTTTTTCTGCATCTCTGCTTAAAAAGCATACACATTCAGGTGCTCCATCCTATCCCTTTTGCTAGTGGGACCTGGGCCCCAGATGGTGTTGGGAGCACCAACGGGCGTAGCTCCACGCCCACGGACTGTTGAGATAAAAAAAAAAGACCCAAGCTCCAAACCATATATCAGATGACTACCTTCTTCCCCCGAAAACAACCTACGATCATTATAGCTGTATCTAGACTAAAAGATGCCTCAAATACAGCTATAATGACCGTGCGTTGTACTCGGGGGAAGAAGGTAGAATACAATCACTCTGCATTACCTGGGGCCGGTCGGTTCAATGATGATACCTCAAGCCACCAGTACTTCGCCCAGCTATGAAGTCCGAGCCTCCCACTACAGGTATGCCAAGCCTTGCCAAGCCTAGAGCTACCGGTAGGGGGCAGTCTACCTTTCTAAGAACACGAAGAACAATAAAAAGCCAGAAGAGAAAACAAACGAGATTCTACTTTTTCAAAAAAAAATGAAAAAAGGGGACGGGCGTGAAGCGGCGCTGCGGGTAAGAGTGGGAGACTTGGGGGCGGGCGGTGGGGGGGGGCGTCACTGGTGATGCCGACGGCGTGCAACACGCGAGTGGAGTCATGGAGATCTAGTGAGGCCTCGCGCGTGACTGCATGGACATCCATAGCCCTTGCTCTGGTGTTGGTACCTCCAGCTGCTTGAATGGACGGAGGCCAACCCCACAGCCCCCTTCCCCTACACACACCTAAACACATCTACATACAAAACTCCATCTATACCTACGCATGAGGAACAAGCTCGAAGGTACTCTTCATCGACCTCATCATGCCATCTCAACTGCCCTCAGCTGACAGTTTCAAGATTCTCCTATCCTTTACGTACTTGTGGCAATTCGGAGACCAGAAACATTCGGTATGAGCTTACAATAGGAAGAAGCTTGGAAGGCTGAAGCGGCGCAACCAGATGCAGTGGTAGAGTGTGCGGCGGCGGTGGGAGGGCTTCGACATGTTCGAGCATTTTTTGCAGATAACTCAGATAACTCAGCAGACCAGACAACGTGGATGGATGACACTCTTTCTGGGCAAACAGACAATCATAAGTTCTCCACCATCAAAGTATTCAAAGCGAGGGTAATTCTTTTGTCGTGTCCTTTCATCCTTCTTCTCTTAGTGACCGTCGGTATCTGGTGGTCTTTTAGGTTAATTCGCAAGGATTCATATTTTTGTGCCTCTCCTTCAACTGCTCCCTTACTCCACAACACTCAGAATTTCCTCCCTGCCTCTCAAGTCAGCCCTGCTATTCAGTTTGTCGCTGGTCCTAATGTTGGTTGTATTCATCCGTTTTGCCCTTGGCCTTCACCACTCTGTACTCAGCCGTCTGGCCTTCTTGGGTGAGTTGGGACAATTTAAACCCTTTCCAGTTGAATAGTAGGGGTCTCATAGCTTCGATCTTATCTAAAAACTAGTATGCACTTAGCCACAACTTTAAGGGAGACTCATTCATTTTTCCATCCGTGAAAACACTCGTCCATAGGTCGTGAATCCGTTGAGGGGCTTGTTTGCACTATCTTCTCTGTCTCTATCGTTGAAGGTGGAATCGCCCTAAAAGTTGCTCTGCTTTTTTTTTTTTCTTCTGGTCGTATTCATCCGCTTTCCATTTGCCTTTAATATTATGTCAGCAATGTCTGGCTTTCTTGGGTTAGCTGGGGCAATCTAAACTTCTCCTTGTTGAATAGTTGGGGACTCGCATCTGTTCATATTATCTAAGGATCTAGTGTGCACCTGATTACATATTCAGGGCAGATTCAATAATTCGTCCAATCGAGCCCGTGACTTCGTTGAGTGGCTCGTTTGCACTATCTTCTCTGTGTCAGGCAATCTAAACTTCTCCTTGTTGAATAGTTGGGGACTCACACCTGTTCATATTATCGAAGGATCTAGTGTGCACCTGATTACATATTCAGGGCAGATTCAATAATTCGTCCAATCGAGCCCGTGACTTCGTTGAGTGGCTCGTTTGCACTATCTTCTCTGTGTCTCGATTATGTTGAAGGTGGAGTTGCCCCGAAAGTTGCTCTGGTTTTTCAGTCCTGCTATTCACCCTGTCTTTGGCTATAATCGTGGTTGTATCCATCCGTTCTCCCCTTGCTTCTGTACTCGATGTCTGACTTTCTTGGTTTAGTTGGGGTTAGTTATACTTCTCTGCTGAATAGTGGGACTTAATAGCATCAAGATTATCTAAAAATCTAGGATGCACTTAGCCACATCTTTGGGGCAAATCCATTAATTTTTCCATCCAGATCTAAACAGGTTAGATTCTCCTGCTTGTTCAGGTAAGACTATAGTTGGATTTTGAATCTCCATACTTGACGATTAGTTCTAGTGCGGGCATGCCTTCTTAGGCATGTGGTTCATTATACTTTCATGTACTTGGCCATGCCCTACGATTGTTTAAAGGTTTTGAGTGTTTCCGAATTTAGAATCACGTCGAATTGCTAGTAGCAACGCCACCTTGAGCAGTAAGAGTGTAACAAGGGGTGGTGGGAACGTCACAGGTTAGGTGGCACGAGAGAACCGGTGAATAGCAAATTTGAGTTGTACCCATTGCGATCGCTATACCATAAAGGTCCAAGGGTGCATGGTGGGAAACCCGTCATGGCATCTCAGACTCTTTACAGGGTGTTGGAACAGTGTGGGTGAAAGGGTAGCTCAATACAGCGAGTAATGAGTGTGAGAACAAAGCAATTTTTTTTTTTTTTTTTTTTTTTTTAACCCCTTTGCAAGGCCTCTATCTCGGTGGTGGCAAGAGAACCACTGGAATTGAGGCTTTGCCTGTCAGGCTGCTCCATCTATTGGTGGGGAGCGTCGCCTGCAGGAAACTGGGTCCAACGTCCCTTTTATGAATACATCATTTTCCTCATAACCAAAATCCTGGGCTGACAACCGGGTCCAGCATCCCATATCAACTTTTTCCTTCCATTCCCAATCCGTGGCCACCAGGGGCCACCAGTGGGGTCTCCTTCCGCTCTCTTGCCCAACCCAAGATTCCATGCCTCTAGACCATATTCTTGCTAATCCTTGCTAATCATCATGCCATCTGCATACTGTCCTCCTATGATCGTGCACTGGGAACCGGACCCAGCATCCTTCTTGAGAAAAGAATTTTAGAAAGGATCTGGAAGGCGGTTGCTTAAAACAGACAACAGGCTACAAACTGACTCAAAGTAGGCTCATCATCTTTTCAAAACCATAAGTAATGATTTAAGCACTGAGAGACGCTTCCACAAGTGATAATGGGAGGGGGGGTAAGAGATCCGGGAAGTCCGTCCCTGGCCTCAGGGGGATG